ATATATATATATAAATATATATATCTATAAATATATATAAATATATATATAAAAAGATAGATCTGTGCTTGGCCAGTGAGCTAAGGGCTGAAGGTCTGGGCTTCTGCACCTTGTGCTGGAGGGTCTAACTTCATTAGCTGTTGTCACAAAGGACTGCTCCCTTTTGAATTTGGTGCAGTGCGGGTTTATGGTTAGGGCTGGGGAATCTTCCTGGGTGACCTGTGTTAAGGAGAGGCCCCAACAAACTGAGAGACTGGTCTTTAAAAAACCCCAACAAAATTACAAACAAACAAAAAAACCATGAAGTGCAAGAAGGTAAGGTAAGCCCACAGCAAAGAGCTGCCTTGCTTCCAAAACGGGATTTGGATGTAAAAGTGCAAGAGTGGGCTTGCCGTCTGTTTAAGGGGAAGCCAACAGCAGAATAAAGATCAGGCTAGTCCTGCCGAGAGCTGTGGCTGGAAGCAGCTCTGCTCTCTCCTGCTCCCAAGCCTCTGCCTTGGTGTTGCATCACCTCCTGCCCACTGTTACGAAGATGGGCGCTGCAGCCCATCACTGATGCAGCATCCTGTGGTGGGCCAAAGGAAATACAGGCCAAGGGCTGGTGCTCCTGATCCTTCACAAGCCTTAGTGGTAGGCGGTCCTGTATTTGGCTATGCCTGGTTAGGAAGGGAGTGCTTGCTGGCAGGGCAAGTGGCAGCTAGTTCAGATAGTGAAAGGTGTGGTCTAGGGCAGAGGCAATCCTAGATGGATCTATGCTTGTTTGGATTTTGCAGAGTGAATGGTAGTCTAAAAACAAAACCCCAGCGATGAGGGAGAGGCTTAAAAAAAGCCACCCAACTAAGCAACCGCAGGGCAAACCAAACTTTGGCTGATTTTCAGGTTTAACTTTCATCTGCGGTCTATTATGAAAACAAAATGGGCAAGTTGCTATGAAGATTTAGTGAAGTGTAGGCAGGAGGATGGTGAGGTTTAAAGGAAGCCTTAATTGAACCTGGCTTTAGAACTTTGTATACAGCGTTCTGTGAGCCTGGATCTAGCTTCCCTCTTTTGTTTATTTACATTCATTCCTTACATCTTGTTTGAAATGTGATCGGAAGCTTTCAGGGCAGGGTGTTTAAGCCACAGCAAGGCCCTAGGCCTGACATTATATGGTTAATTGTTCTGGTGGGGAAATATGAGGAAAAATGCCACAGAAATACAATTATTTCTGGAGATTAGTCTTGGCAGCTGTGTGACTTCAGCAGGCAAGTTGGCCAACTTCTGCTCCTGACTCTGCCATAGACTTAGTGCAGTGCAGATCTGCCACTTGTGAAACAAATAATAACTGGACCTCAGTGTTTCGGTCCAGGAAGAAAGAGGATATGAATTCTGGACTTGCTGAGATTTTGAGGTGACTCTGCTTTTTATTCCCCCGCCATTGCACATGCACTTTTGTTTTAATAGAAGTGAGAGTGGAGAACTCTGTCCAGCCTAGGCAACCTCCATGGTGGTGTCTTCATTTGAACTACCTGTAGTCAGGGAAGAAAAACAAGCCCTTCTGAGGCATGGATCTTGGTCATCACCCCCTAGGAAGGCATATCTATCCCCAGAGGGAATCTGGCCAGCTAGCTCAAACGCTCACCGATCTCAAAGGTGCATCCTTTCCCAGGTCCTCACATGGGCAGCGCAAGGCTGCTTTGCTCAGCCCACTGTCTACTACAGTCTATGAAAGACCCTGGAAATGGAGCTTTCCCTTTTTTTTTCCTAATTCACCATGAATGAGCTGGTAAATAGCTTTCCTGACACTCATCCTAAATTTCTCAGGGCTGATAAGGGTCTCCCTTTCAGTGAAAGTTATTATTGTTAAAGGCAACACACTGAAATAATGAGGGAGAGAGGAAAGGTGGGCGTGAGTGGGATTCTATGAATAAGTATATTTAAAGCTGCTACTGTGGAGTACAGGAGAAAATTAGTTTGTAGGAAGCATTGGCAAGTGTTTCTGGCCCTTTGGGTTCATAGTTTGTGTGAGACTAATGCTGCATGGATTTGGATTTTTGGCTAATATTTTTCTATTTTCTTGGTTTTTAATCTTTCCTATGCAAACGCCTCTTCAGGTTTTTGGTGTTCTTGAGTCACCTGAATTTTCCAGAATCTCTTCAGCCTTTAGACCAATAATTAAAGGTGAAAAAGATGACTCCGGTTCTCATCAGCATCTAATCAGTGAAAATGGCAGTAGTCAGAAGTCACCCTTGCTCCAGGCATTTGCCCCAAAAGCTGTGAGTGGGTCTCAGGCTGATGCGCAGGTATGGGCAGTCCAGGTGGATTTGCTGGGGTAGTGGAGGTGTAGATGGGTTTTCTGTCTGGATGGAAATGTGATGCGTAGATTGATTTCCATTTTTGAGGAGACTGAGTGATGTGTGTATGAGAGGAGAGATTTTATGGCTAGGATTTAGTTTGCAAACCTTCTTTCTGACACCACCTTCCATACCTTGTTGCAGATGTCTGCAGCATCTCAGGGGAGTCAGAAGTGGGTGTCTAGGTGGGCGAGCCTTGCGGACAGTTACTCTGACTCTGGATCTGTCTCTGGGCAGGGTGATGGAGGTGCAGGTAAGTCTCATCCTGACATTACTGTTTGAAGGTGGCTTGAAAAGCAGAAAATAAGGGCTTCTGTGCATCTGGCTGTGGCTTATTTTCTGTTTTAGTTAATGTATTTGGGAATGAGAAGGACAGATTGAATCGTTCCCAGTGGAGTAAAGATGGAGAGAGCCTCTGGTTTGCATTTCAGAGTCATCTGAGAAGTTCTTAAATGTTACATTTGACATGGCTAAAGGGCACCTGGGAAGGAGAAAGATTGTGAGGGCCTTGGGTGTTAACTAGCCCCAAGTAGTGATTCTTTAGACTGCCTTACGATGCCAGATGAAAGCCCTTTGCAAGTTGCCTTGGATTTAATTGCTGACTTATGCTTTTTTTGTGTGCTTCTCCTGCCTGTGTCTGAGAATTTTAGGCTGTTCTGGGGTTTCCTGTTGGGTGGCATGTTTGAAGCATGGAGAGCAGCATAGAAAATGGGTATGAAGGGGAGAAGGGGAGTGGGAGGAGATCAGGCTGCCATCGTAACTGGGGAGACAGCTTACAGACCCTGTGGGTTCTGTAGGTATGTGAGAAAGGAAGAAGAGTGCTGCTTTGCCATCAACGACTATAGATAGATGCAGTAAAGATTAGAAGAACCCTTGGTTTCGGAGGTCATCGCCACTGTTTTCACACTGTTTGAGAACCTGACTCCCAGAGTGTTTGAAGTATTACCATAGTCAAATAACCAGTTATCCTGGTGTTTGAAGGTCGTATCAGATATGAAGTCTTGGCCAGCAGCATGGGAGAAATAAGAATGCTCTTTCTATGAAGTGTGTCCATACTGATAAGCCCACCCATGCTGGGGGTGGTGAGCTCTAATTTGGAGCCTCATAATTGTTATAGGGTCTTTCTCCTGAGACTTTGCTGTGGGATATGATTGTATGAGAACTTGTACTGTGAAAAACATCATCTATTTAGTCAAATGGGCTATGTTGTGTAGAATGGCACTTAAAATACTGCAGCACTACAGTGGTTTGTTTGATGACTTTTCACCTCATTCCCATGGCCTGATTTGTGGTAGAAACCAGCAACAACATTAGCCTCTGAAGTATGTGGTTGTACTGAGAGGTATATTATGGGAGAATGAATCTGAAATCCTGCCTTGAGAGAGGGAAGGTGTTGAGCACTCTGATCCAGCACAGGAATTAAGTATAGCATCTATACTGATAAACCTGAGGGAGCGAGCACCAGCCAGGTCCTACTGATGTTCATGTTACATAAAAGCTTAGTTCTAAGCATGTGTCTTGTGAGTGCTTTTGTGGACTTGGACTTTGCAGGATCAAACTCATCCTGAATAAGTAAATAAGTGGTATAGTTGTACAACAATTGATTCTTGTCCACTTAACTCTCTTCAGAAAGTGGTGTAGCCCCCAAACCCGGGGAATCAGAAAATGCTGTACCCTTGAGAACAAGGCGCCTTCTTCCCCAACTCCCACCAAGTGATAAATCAGACAGTCCCACACCCACAGTCCTGGTTTGCCAGGATTCCTATTCTGAGGTTACCAAGAGAACCATTGTGAAGGACCGCTGTGTGGAGGCCTATGGTGATCCCAGCAGCCGCCTCTTCATCCAAGAAGACTTGGATCCAGATAGCCTCAGTGATGCCAGCAGATCTGATGATGGCTTCAGCACAGAAAAAGGCAAGAAATATAAAGAGAACAATAAAATGCTAGAGCAGATGGCGGAAGACACAAGATCAGAGAGCCGGCAGCCAGGAGCCTCCCGGGTCTCAAATGTGAGAGCTGTGAGTGAGCCACTTTCTACTTCATTCTACATTGGTGATGACAGCAATGATGCGGGGATTCCCTCCAAGCTCTCTCTGAGCGTGTCGCATGCTCGAGCAGACAAAGACGGCAAGGATCAGGAGTTTTCCTTCAAGTCTGCTGGCACGCCAGTTCCTGGAAAGCCACCGGTCAAAGACGTTAGCGCTTACATAAATGCAGCTGGAAAAGTGGTTATTTCCCTTCATCAGAGTCTTCCTCAAGATGAGGAAAACATGGCAGGAAAGGAAACATCATCTTTTGTTAGACAGGAAAGTTTTACCAAAGATAAATCAAGCAGTGGTGTTCCTCAAAATAAACTTCCACATATTTCAAGTCACCCTCTGCTTAAAGATTTAGAGGCTGTTCGGTCAGCTCGTATGGACTTTGGTCAGGAGACTCATCTTCTTCTTAAGGACACTGAAACTGCCTTGGCAGCACTGGAAGCCAAATTACTTGGTCAAAGCCAACAGCTGGAGCCCTCGGAAACTGCTGGTCAGCTGGAGGACTCCTTGTCAGGGGACTCGGATGTGGACACTGCCAGCACAGTCAGCTTGGTGAGTGGCAAAAATGTCCCAACAAGTGCCCCGAAACGCAAAGTGGTCGCGAGCTTGCAGAAGGAGAAATCTTCCTCCACGCCGTCCATCCAGGACCAGTGCGGGCAGCCCAGCGCTCGGGACAGGCTGACAGAGAAGCGGAAAACGCAAGCACCAGATGCGAACCGCACGGAGGCTGCCAAACGCTTCCAGATGAAGCGGAGTGCTGGTACTCGAGGGTCACTCGACTTCACAGATGATGAGAGAAGCTCGAGTTTGCCCTACTTGCCAGTCCCCGACACAGTCGTGTCTGACCACGAGCACTCGGTAACCCGGCCGGTTCCCAGAAGGAAACCTGTTACTCAGGCCGCCAAGGAGGACCACAGCAAAACGACCTCGAATGTGCAGAAAATCCAGCAAGTTCTCACCCGCTCCAACAGCTTATCCACCCCACGACCCACAAGGGCCTCGAAGCTACGTCGTGCCCGTCTGGGAGATGCTTCAGACAATGAATGCATCGATACCGAGAAAACATCCGCCAACCCTGAAGCCACTGCTCCGGGCCCCAAGCAGTCCACAGAGACGAAGAAGCTCTCCCGGCTGGACATCCTCGCCATGCCAAGGAAACGGGCAGGTTCGTTTACGGTGCCCAGTGACTCTGAGACAGCACAGTCGAGGACAGGATTTTCAGGCAGGAACGTGGAGCCCTATCGGAAGATGGGTGCTTCGGAGGTTAGAG